ACTAAGGCGAATATCTGGCCTGACATGCGCCGACGCTGTCCGCAGTCACTCTACAACGACAAGTCCTCTGTGCGCTACGTCACATACCAGAACGAAGAGGACGAATGATATCCGTGAGCTGCGGGGGCCGCGCGACCGGCGCGCCCCGCAGCTCGGCGCCGGAGCCGGCCGCGAGCCGGCAAACGAGCGGGCTCCGGCCGGCGGCGGCCGCGTCTGAGGAGGGGGCGGCCGGTCGCCGCGGCGGATGGCTGCGCCGTGGCGTCCGGCCCCGTCCGGGATCAGTGCCGCCGCCGCCCGCCGCCCCCCGCCCCGCACCGGGGCTCCACCCGACGGGCTGGTTGCCTGGGGACCAATCGATGTCGTGTTATCTGTGCGCGCTAGCGCCCTAGCCTTAAGGGTCCACACGCTGTGGAGGCGGCCAGGGCGGCGTCCGCCGGGACCGCGCTCCGGACGGACGACGCGGCCGGGCCGGCGTCCCCGGCCTCGGCTGCCGACGGGGCGGACCGCCAGACACGGCCGAGCGCCGCCAGCTGCACCTCACGACCTCTGCCTCCGGCCTGCACCGCACACTTCCCACGCCCTACCCGCCGCACTCGCCCGGACCTGCCCGACTCGGCAGCGGACCCTTCTGCACGCGACACGCCACCGCGGCGCGCGCCCTCCGGCTGCCGCTCCGCCGGCAATATTGCACCAGCGTATCCTGTCTTCCAGGCGGGCACCCGTCGCCTCTACACGCTCCTATGCCGGCCGGCGACGCTTCAGTCACTCATGCTGGTGTTTGTCCAGAGACTGACGCAGAAGAAATGTTCGTCGTAGGGATGGCGCGCCTGGCAACCGCACCGGCCACATACCGGCCACCATCCCATGGATCGATACGCGTCATGAGCGTGCGCGTGGACCCCGGCTGACCAGCACACAAGATCATTCGATCTGGGCTACGATGTGCCCAAGTTATAGTCCATGTTACGGATGAGAGGCGCCTGCAGAGCTTAATTAAGACCGAGGCCACATCAGCCCATGGCATATGCACTCAGCACACGCCGCGCCCAGCTTGCTGCACTTGTAGCCCACTACCGCATCCTTTCCCGCCCGCCCAGCGCGCTCACGAGCTTGGAGGCTAGTCCTCAACCTTTGCGCCGTCCGTCTCACCGCCAAGCATCACCGGCCCGTTCAGGGAGCCTCTCAGATCGTGTCGACATGCGAGCTCCTGCTGCCAGCCCGTTCCCGGCGCGTTTCGGTGGTGGCCTGCGGCGGCGCGCCTCCACGTCGCTCGCCAGTCACAGTCGGCCCCCGTCCGCCGCCCGGCGGCTGCCCCCTGTACGCCGCCACAGCCGTGTCGAGGATGGTCTGAGGGTCCAACGATGTGCCGCAACACTGTTTATTGTTACTTGTCAACAAAACAAATCCACTAAAAACTAATAAACGGTGAAAATCCCCAACCGTGTGTAGGTCATCGCGAAAGAGGTCAGTGAGGGAACGTCGGACGCCGGAAGTCCGAACACACCAGCCGTCACCGAGTGCGTGCGTCGGGGCCATGAGGCGATCCCCATAGGACGGGACTCGGAACGAGAACCGGTGCGCAGGTGCGTGACAAACAATCTCCCGGGAAATGGATGCCGCAGAGCAACACCGGAACACAATAATAGGTGGCAATACCAGGTGGAATGTCCAACATCATGAGCATGGCTAGATCCGGTAACCGTGGGTAATCAGCCTCATGTCAAGATAATCGGAAGACAACGCGGCACTCCTGTCTCCATTCACAAAAGAGGATCAGCACTTTCCTGAGAAAAAGCCTGCTATATCAAAAGTACAGATACGTCTGCAAAACGAGGTTCCTTTCCAGCGCTAATCCTCCAATGTCAGATGACTATCATTCTAGCCTGAAGGAATGCATGCGACCTAGAGCAACCGCATCCGATGTATTGATGAACAAGATTCTCTCTTCTCTTTCTCAGCTGGATAGCAAGCGTTCCGTTCTCACAGCGGGATGCGGGCGGGTCCGATCCCCGGCTCCAGCAGGATCGCTCTCAGCCACCAGCGAGGCCGGCGTCCGAGCTGTGGCCACCCACACCCACTGCGCGCGCCGGCCGCTAGCTGCTCTCCTCGCCGTCGGGCGTCTCGCGCTGCCGGAACTCGTGGTACTCGTCGTACTTGCGGCTGTCGCCGCGCACGCGGTCGGCCGGGTACTTGCGGGCGTTGTGCGCCATCTTGCGGCTGGCGGCGGCCGGCAGGTCTACGCCGCACACGTGCGACAGCCGCACCAGGTAGAGCAGCACGTCGCTGAGCTCGTGCTCCAGCCGCTTGCGGTCCTGCTGGGACCAGTCGGGCAGCCCGGGCGCCACCTCGCCCCGCCACTGGCTGCGGCCGACAGGAGCTCGTGTCACGCACTCGGAGGCGACTCGCCGGGCGCGCACGATGCGGCCGCGGGCCGACGCAGAACCACGGCGGCCGATACATACACATGTGACAGTCACACAGGCCCAACTATGGTGGTTATCAGGCTGTAGACATGGCACACGCTACGGCCGAGTACCGACACAGAACCACGGCGGCCGACACACACACACGTGACAGTCACACAGGCCCAACTATGGTGGTTATCAGGCTGTAGACATGGCACACGCTACGGCCGAGGACTGAAGCAGAACCTCGGCGGCCGATACATACACATGTGACAGTCACACAGGCCCAACTATGGTGGTTATCAGGCTGTAGACACGGCACACGCTACGGCCGAGGACCGACACAGAACAACGGCGGCCGACACACACACATGTAACAGTCACACAGGCCCCACTATGGTGGTTATCAGGCTGTAGACACGGCACACGCTACGGCCGAGGACCGACACAGAACCACGGCGGCCGACACATACACAAGTAACAGTCACACAGGTCCCATTATGGTGGTTATCAGGCTGTAGACACGGCACACGCTACGGCCGAGGACCGACACAGAACCACGGCGGCCGACACAGACAGATGTCCAGACACACGTCACAGTCACACAGGGCGGCCTATGGTCACCAGGCGGCAGACATGGCTCGGATGGAGGTACCATGGCGCACGCCGCGGACGAGTGCAAACTCGGGTTCTTCATACACAAATAATTACACCAGCGAGGCATCACGCTTACCGGACGATGTGCCTCGTTACCAGCATTCCCTCTTTAAATCAAAATGTCGATGGCAATACCTCAACGTTAGTTCAAAGCAAAAGTGTTAACATAAACTGGATATGGCTGAAAGGTCATTTATTTCGATATACGATCGCATAGGGCAATGCCTAGAGCGCTCGCCCCAACCTCTAGGGAGTTCCAGTAAGGATTCCGATCATGATACTTCTAAGAAGCTCTTCTAGAGCTTAAACGAGCTCGCGCATATGGAAACATAGAGCTGCATTTCAGTGCACAAGTTCGTCAAGAAGAAGGGAGGCCCAGCGCACTGACCCCTCCCCCCCCCCCCCCAACCACACAGATCACACGCCCACAGACTGGACAGACGACCAGCCACTGTCACTGCTGCTCGAGCGCTGGCGCATCCCAGGCATGCGCAACAGACACGCGGCCCGCTCCCTGTGCGGTCGGCTCACACTGAGATGGGTTTATTGACACGGGTTCGCCGAGCCCATGGTAGGCACGGGCCATCTGTGCAGTGTTCAATGACACATCGCACGGTGCATCAAGCGAGCTCCGTGCCTCATGCGTACAGAGCGCGTGGGCCCGCGTACAGAGCGTGTGGGCCCGCAATTCCCCCTTCGGGTCACGTGGAACCCCGACTTCCCACAGCCATAGACTGACATGCAGAGGCGTAGGAGAACTTCGAAAGCAGCACGAGTGGCACGTGCAGCCACAGGCCGCCGGCCTGCCCAGCGAGCCGGACGCCCCAAGCACTAACCAGTGTCATCTATTGGACAAGCACGGTAAAAGCTTCTGTTAAGTCCCTCGCAGCGGCATGTACGTTTCTCTGTCACCATTTACTAATGTAGCAAACGTTACTCTCAACCGCGTCTAATGCTGACGAAGGAAGAACAATCGAAATAAACTTCCAAGACGCCATGCCCGCCATACGTGTGCCCCCCCCCCCCCCCCCGCCCCTTACATACAGCCGTTCTCTGGAAACATTCACGAAAAAAGCGCACAGCGTCCAAGCATAGTCCCACTTAAGCCCATGTGAGCCGACTGTAACCCGAGGACCCATGACCTCTGGCACGTGGCCGGAGGTTGTGGCGTGACATCTTTGACGTCCAGTGGTGGATTACTGCCATCGGAAGAGGCCCACGACGTTTGACTTACAATATTTCCGAGAGCTCTCCGACTTCGCCAACCATCGCCAGCAGCAGATTCCTTGGTGTGTGGTACTGGTTCCAATCACGCTCAGTGGCAAACTGGTTCATGCTCGCTCGCCTGCGATCCCAGTGGAGGCGGGGGAGAGTTTGGTATAGTAAGTAACAGCTTACCAGGACAGAGATGCAAGTTGAGGGGCAGCAATACAGGCTCTCATGATTTAACACTCAATGTCATCTGATGACATCAATCATGGAAAAACCAGATGAAAACACAGTACAAAGGCAGCATACCTTCAATTACGAACACGCCATCGGCGGCATGTGATCACAGAAGTCATAATGGATGTAAGAGCCATTGTCACTGTCTGGATACTATTCTGGTATAAATCAATGACTTGTTTAACTCCTATCACCATGGGACTGATGTAACTGAGCCTGACCAATGTGGTTGATAGCTAATCTTTCTTGAAAGCCTAATTGGCAAGGTGGGTTCAACAGTATGGCATGTGTGCACTAATCCATGAAGTACATCACTTGAACATTGACTGGCTGTGACCCCAACCAGGCATGAATATTTTGGTTGCTGCCTTTGCCACAGTTTCTTCCTTGTGCCAGTGGCGAATACATTAAACAAAATGACAAGGCTCTGGAGATACACTGGCTACCATAAGCCCACCTCCACCCCCTATGATGTAAGCTCCTGCCTTAGCCCGAAGCATGATATTACTGGCCTCTTGAAAGGGGTGCCACTGCCTGCCTCCTGGTCAATCACTGGCACATCTGTGCCTGGGACAGTGTTGGGCTCACTTTACTTGTAAATGGTAAATTTGTCAACACTAGGTGGCAGATTTCAATTTTTACCCTGCTCTGACTGTTGAGACCAGACTGCCAAAGAATCCTACATTCTGTCACCCTCACTGTTATGGAGTGCCAGTGACTGCAGTAACCATAGAAGCACTCAGGGGCCATGACACAGCCAAGGTTTAGACACAGGTCCCCCAGTGGGAACCAGACAGCTCTGCACTTACGTGACCCCTTCTACATATTTACTTGGACTTTTGATGTTGGGAGTGTCAGTTCTTTCTGCAGACAAAAAATCTTGGTCCCAGCTGTGCTATGGCAGGTTTTTGAGTCGGGCCTATTTTGAGGGATGTGAGGGGCAGTCATGTGGCCATTTCTCAGAATGCCATTTTGCAAAGACTCGCCTCTGTGACACCTGGTCTGGGCGAGTCATATTATAGCACAGAATGACATATAAATGCCTCTGTGGTTAGGTGGAGCTAAAAGGCCTGGAAAAATCTGAGTACTTGCTTAGCAGGTACTCTGAGAGCAAAGCCACTCCAGGACACAATTTCAAATAATCCATATTAAGTATTGACTAAATACAAGAGGCCATAATGCATTTACCTTAAATAAAATAGCTACAACTGAACTACAATTGACTAAAAGGCTTGCGTACAATTGTCCTACAATTTATGCCATTACACATTCAATAATTCCACTTGTGGTTGTGAACATACATGGTACTGCAACCAGGGGACATGATTCATCAGCTTTAAGATGGTCCTTTCTGATGAAGCCTATTAAGGCTCGACAAGTACGGGCCGGGCCTGGCCATCCCGCTGAAACTCTATGATGGCTTTAACTAGGACCACCCAGACTGCTGCTTTGCTCAACACCACCTCAGTGCTGTATCCAGGATTTGAGCCAAAACCATTTATGTACAATTTGTGTCCAATGCAATCCATAGACAGCTTCAAGAACCTTACCCAATTCTCACAGCAAAGGAATATAAAAAATAACAGCTTGATTTAAATGATTTCCAGTCCAGCACTTACAGGTCTTCCAGTGTTGGAGTCTCAGAGAAATTGAAGGCTGTGGATCTTTCCTGCCCATTTGCAGGATCTTCCCCTCCTGTTGCCATCAGTTTTCCTCTGTGGATCTGGAAGAAACCCATTCACACACAGAATTATCAATCCTTATGTGGCACCATGAGCCAAATAAGCCTGTTCAACAATGTGGCTTATCAAGAGCATCACCTTGGTGACATACATGTGGCTATGCAGCATGACCACCTTCCTTTCACTGCCAGTATTGACAGCCAAGCTAGATTAAATAGCAGCTCTTGGCAGCCATTTGTAAAACACTGAATATTTCACATTAATACAGTAGGCAGTTGATGACTGGGTGGCTTTGGAGTGGATGGACATAAGCAGTGGATGGATTTAAGAGCTGATGGACTTTGGAAAGGATGGACTTTAGGGTGCATGGACATAAGTGGTGGATGAACTTTATGCAGACTAGACCTTGCAAACTAGTAATATTTGCCCTGAGAAGTGACTCATAAAAAATACCTAAACCCTGCATTCTGTGCACTGTGAACTTTGTTTCTTAAATCCTGTCTGAAGCAGCAACCCTCCTACATCCAAAAATGATATTTGGCCGACGTGAAGAAAGAAGGCAACTATGGTCACTCTGTCCACTTACCCTTCACCCTGGGCTGGTGTCAGGTCTGGTGCATGTGCGAAGACCCGTGCAAAGCTAGCTTGTGCAAGACCGCGCAGGTTTATCAAACCCAGTCCCTCGCAACCAATGTGTATTTGTTGTTATCAGCAGCCAGCGCTTTTTCCTTATCAACCTGCGCGGCTTTCATTCGCTGATTCCACGAGGCAAGAGCCCGGGGGGGGGGGGAGCGCTAAACAGTCAACCAGACCTGTTGACAGCCCGATACTCCAACCCCATGGCACCGACCGACATGAAACCTTACCTTTTCGATGCCGATTAGTCGATAACGTAACCTTTCCAAAATATGATGACTGAGTCAGCTCAAACATCACCAAAAATACGAAAAACCGGAAAATAGGTACTCCGACAACCCTATGCTCCGATGCTGTAGGGCCGCGTTAGCAAGAAACCTCCCCCAACTGATGTGTCTTGGTCAACACGCTACCCTTTCCAGAACATCATGACCTTACGTTAGGTCAAAGGCCACTAAAAACGCCCAAAGCCACCTGAAACAGTTCGCAGACAATCCCATATCCCGAGCCTATCACACCGTTCCCCATGACACTTTCACCGATGGATGCGCCATAGCCGACATCCCGATGTTTCCAGAAGATGGTGGCCTTCAGCTAGGTCAAAGGTCACCAAAAAACGCCCACAACCACATGAAATTAGTTTGCAGACATCTTCGTGCTTCGACCACACGTGACCGATCAGCATGAAATCTTCGTCAATCGACGCGTCATAGTCAATATCCCAATCTTTCTAGAATACGGTGACCTTGGGGCGGATCGAAGGTCACCAAAAACGCCTAAAGCCACCCAAATTGGCTGCAGACAACCCAAAGCTCCGAGCCTATGGCACCGATCAGCGTGAAATTTCTGCCGATCGATGCGGATCATAGTTGGTATCTCATATCATTCCTAGATCGTGGTAACCTTGAGTCATGTAAAAGGTAATCAAAAACAGCCAAAACCACCTGAGATTAGTTTGCAGACAACCCTATGCTCCGAGCCTATGGGCCCAAACCCTTACTATGCCGGCTTCAAACCGGCTCAAAACCCCTGCTAAGGTTTCGTACTGATCTGTCCCGTCCGCTGGGAGCATGCGGTTGTCTGCAAACCTTTTGATGAAGGTTACATCAAAACGTTTGAGCCTGCGCGCTAAAAATTGAGGGAGCAAGGACAACGATGGTTTGGGTTGCAGCTTCCGTAAAGCCAAACAGCATTGGCCACTGCAAGTAGCACCACGCGCCTCGCGCGAGAACGACGGCCATGAAATAATGGCTCCAAATATCTTTCAAATGAATTCGCACCGTTCAAATATAAGACTGGGCGTATCCTTTGTGAAATTTCGAGGTTGTTCTTTGTACAAATGAGCAGCTACAGTAATGCAAAAAAATAGAGATTCTACCTTTACCCTCCCAGTTCCATCACCAGACCCTAGCCAGCACCATTTCGCGATACTGTAAATGCCAATCCGTTATTAAGATAGATCTCAAAATAGCACCGGCGAAATCTATACCCGGACTTCTTTCTGAACGTACGATTTGATGCTCTAAACTGTTCAAAGGTACTTGTCTCGGACGCATCATCATTTTCGATCACCCGTTAACCACGGATAGAATCACCACAGGGCCGACGGTATGCAGCATGCGGAGGCTGCAACGATTGGCGCGAGTTTTTTGCTAGTATACGCGAGCGCGCATGCTTAAAACTACGTACATAATTTGTGTCACTGATCGATTCTGACTGAATTCCAGACGAACACGGCTTGGTCAAGTTGATACAAATGGTGACTTATTTTGATTCACGCAAGCTACAGTCGCGGGGTCAGTTATGTTATGTAACGTAACAGATATGTTACGGGGTCCGTAACATATCTGTAGGACCCAGATAAAAATTGTAACGAATCTTCTGAGATATATCGGCATAGAAAGAGTCCTCCAGACTAATGCAAAATGGAGAGCGCCGACAACTGATTTCATGCAATCGTTAAAACATGGTTTCTTCAGTTTACTGACCATAAAATTCAGTAAGAATTTATGCCGGGGTAATTCTGCCCTCTATTCCAGCCATAGACGGTATTAAGTCTTACGTGTTCCGTGTGCCCAGACCAGACACGAGCGCTGCGAGACGGCAACTGTATTAACCCGCGAGGCGAGCGGGCGGCGCCGACCCCGGCGGGCGGCGCCCCAGGCAGTACGCCGCCAGTCGGGGCAGCGGCGTACCAAGGTGCAGCAGCACTGGCGGCGCGAGCAGGGGCGGCCTCAGGCACACGCCAGTAACATCATGATACATGTCCCCCCCCCCTTGAGCAAATGCAAATAAATGTTGATACGCTTGCGAAACGAAGTTACTGGTGACAGACTGCTGCTTCCCTGCTGCTCCCCTGCTGCTGCTCTGCTGCTTCTCAGGCTGCTGCTTTCCTTCTGCTTCTCAGACTGTTTCTTCTCTGCTGCTTTCCTGCTGCTTCCCATCTGCTTTCCTGCTGCTTCCCATCTGCTTTCCTGCTGCTTCTCTGCTGCTTCTCTTTGATGCCTCTCAGAAAACGCGGCCACTGCGTGTTTTGCGTGGACTGAAACTGAGCAGTGGCGTTGGATTTTGTGTCTGGGGCACTTGCGCGTTGCAGGGCTGGGCCGCAGCTTCTGTCAGCGGCGGCAGCGACGGCGGCGGCGCCGCTGTCGACGCGGGCGACGGCACAGCTGGTGGTGGCCGTGGCACCACTGATCGTGGTGCAGGCGCCGGCCCGCGCGGCTGCGGTTGCAGCAGCGCCGGTGGCGCCACCTCAGCGTGGCGGCCAGAGAGGAGGTCTGGAGAGGGCACCCTGTGTGCAGAGCGGTCGGCACGCCGCGTGGAACCGTGCTGTGTCAAGACCTGAAACGGAGGGATCTGCATCAGATGACGTCGGTTGCGACGATAGCGAGCACCCTTGAGCTCCACAAGGTAGCTGCGTCTAGAGAGCTTCTCTATGACGGTGGCGGGCTCGGACCAGCTTGCCTCCTTCTCCGTCTTCACCCGAACATGATCCCCGGGCTGTAGCTGCTGAAGATCGCGGGCACCGCGTCTCCGGTCGAAGCACGTCTCCAGCTTCTTCCTCTGCCGATCTCGGAGTTTGGCATGCTGCCATGTCGCTTCTCCGGTTGGCTGAGCGATGGGGAGACGAGATTGAAGTTCGCGTCCCATCAGGAGGCGGGCTGGGGAATATCCGGTTGCTTCCACAGGCGTCGTGCGGTAGTTGAGGAGGGCGAGGTGGGGGTCCCTCTGGTGAAGTATCCACTTGGCGGTTCTCACGGCTCGTTCAGCTGCTCCGTTGGAAGACGGCGTGTGCGGGTCTGTGATACGGTTTGTGAAGCCGTAGGACGCTGTAAAGTTGGCGAACGAGCTTGAAGTGAACTGCGTTCCTCCGTCTGTTGTCACGAGGTCTGGTATCCCCAAGCGGGAAAACAGGCGCTTCAGACGCTCGATGACTGCGCTGCTGGTGAGACTCGGGAGGCGTTGTATCTCCAGATACCTGCTGAAGATGTCCACCGTGACGAGCCAGTTGCAGTCGTTGAAGTGGAAGACGTCTGCTGCAACGTGCGTCCACGGTCTTGATGACGTTGGGGCTGTCACCAGTGGCTCAGCATGCTGGGCGGGCGAGTTCACCTGACAGAACGAGCAGCTCTCGATATGACGCTTCAGGTCGGTGCTGAGTTGAGACCACCAGAGCGATACTGCTGCCCTCTGGCGACACTTGTTTAGACCGAAGTGTTCGTCATCATGTAGTCGAGTGAGCATTTCATCTCGCAGACTCGGAGGGATGACGATGCGTCGCCTGTGCGTCAGCAGGGTACCACACGTTCGGTACAGAACGTTCATCTCTCCCCGAGAGGCGAAGTAGTTCAGCAGGTCGGGATGCTTCGCTCCCTCCTTCCAGCCAGAGAGAGTCTGCTGAACTACGCGCTGTGGGGTTCGTCTGCTTGCTGCGCCTTGCTGATCTCCACCAGACGCTGCGGTGTGGCGGGAAGATCGCTGAAGATTCTCTCGCAGAATCCATGTATGTCTTCTTGAGGCACAGAGCCGATTTCATCCTGCTTCTGGAGCGGGTGACGTGAAAGGAAGTCGGGCACCAGGTGCTGCTTCCCTGGAACGAAGACCGCTGTGGCGTTGTATCGCATCAAGCGCATGAGCATGCGCTGGCATCTGATCGGCGCATCCACGAGATTTTTCGTGTTAACCAGCGGGATCAGAGGCTTGTGGTCCAGATGTAGCTCGAAAGACGGCAGTCCGGACAGGAAACATGTGCATTTTCTCGCACGTCCACGTCGCAGAGAGTAGTTCCTTCTCGATCTGGGCCCATCTGGTCTCGGTGTCAGTTAGGCTTCTGCTGCAGAACGCGACGGGTTTGAAGACGGAGCCGTGCTTCTGGAGAACACATCCTCCGATGCCGAAACTGCTGGCGTCGGCGCTGACCACCGTCTCTCGTGCTGGATCGTAGAACGCCAGAACTGGAGTGAAGTGTCGGCTGCTTTCACGTCATCCAGCGCCTGCTGCTGCTGTGGTGTCCAGATCCATGCTACGTTCTTCCTCAGAAGTTCGTTCAGTGGTCTCAAGCACTCCTGGATGTGTGGAATGAACCGAACCAGGAAGTTGATTACTCCGAGCAGAGACCTTAGTTCATTGTCATTCTTTGGCGGTTGGAGCTGCTGGATCGCTTCGAGCTTCTCTTCGTCCATGCTGATGCCGTTCTTGCTGATCTTCATCCCCAAAAACTCGACCTCGTTCTTCCGGAACTCACACTTTTTCCTGTTCAGCTTGAGGCCAGACTCGTGGATCCTCCTGATGACAGCTTCGAGACGTGCATCGTGACTGGCAGCACCTCCGAACACCACGGTGTCGTCCATGTAGACGATGAGTCCGGGCAGTCCGTCCAGTATCTCCTCCATCTTCCGCTGGAAGCACTCCGGTGCGAGCGAGATCCCCATCGGCAGTCGCAGGAACCTCTTCCTGCCGAACGGAGTGATGAACGTGGTCACCGTGGAGCTCGCCTCGTCCAGCGGGATCTGGTAGAAACCGGAAGAGGCGTCCAGCTTGGTGAAGAGCGTCGCACCACTCAGCATGGAGGTCAGCTGCTCCAGAGTAGGGATCGGGAACACCTGTCGCTTCACAGACTGGTTGAGCCTCTTGTAGTCAACCGTGATGCGGACACCGCTGCTCTTCGGCTTCGGGACGGGGACCAGCGCAGAGACCCAGTCCGTTGGCTCGGTCTCCTTCGTGATGATGCCGTGATGCTCCATCTTATTCAGCTCCTCTTCCACTGGCTTCATCAGCGGCAGCGGGATGTTTCTTGCAGTGGCAAGGGCGACTGGAACAGCATCTTCACGGAGCTGAATGCTGACCGGTGCTGTCTTCAGGAGGCCTGTCTCCCCGAAGACGTCTTCGTTGACTTCACCTGTGAACCTCAGTACGCCCAGGCGCGAGCAAACAGACCTGGAGAGGAGATCATCAGCGGAGTCAACAACGTAAAACACTTCAGGCTCGGTTTTGTTCTTGAACATGAGTGTTTCGTGCATCTTTCCTTCTACTTTTAGCACGCTACCAACACTTGTCAGAGTATTTGAAGCATGTTGAAGCGGCGGCAGGTTTCAGCTTCTTGTACGTTTTCAGCGTCAGAATGCTAACATCAGCGCCAGAGGTCAACTTTGAAAGCGACTCGTTGACCATTTAGAAGGACTGAAACTCTCCATGGCGCGCAAACTTTGTCTACTTTGCCAACAAAAATGTTGGGCGGCGATAGCTGTTCAATGGGCTCTGTCCGCTCAATCGCTCTGACACCGTTGGAGCGACAAACGGATGCAAAATGATCCATTTTCTGACAGTTGTCACATATTTTTCCCTTAGCGGGACAATCTTTCGGAGACACATGACGTGCTCTTCCACAGTATCTGCATGCTGTTGAAAAGTCGGCACGCCGACTATGCTGTTGCCGTTGCGCGGTGGAAGGCTGCTGTTGACGTCTGTACTGCTGGTGCTGCTGGCGCGGCTGCCTGTGCTGCGCCGGTGCACAAACCCTACTGATGTCAGGCGGACCAGAGCTGTCACGGCCGTTCACGATCTCGACATTACGCATTATCGAAATGACGGTATTTACAGACACTTCCTGCTCTCGTGACTTCAGCTGAATTCAACGGGACAGCTCCCTGTCAGACATTCCCGAGATGAGACTATCTCGGATACGCTCATCAGCGTCAGCGAAGTTGCAGTATCAGCTAGAGAGAACAAACTCTGATGTACGATTCATTAGTCTCGCTTGAGCTTTGAGATCTAAGCTCCAAGTTGTGACGCTCTGGAATAAAGTTCCTTTTCGGAATGAAGTACCCGTCTAGCCTTGAGACAACAACTTCAAAATCCTCCTTCTGCTCAGCAATAAGCTTTAATGTTGGTATGATATGCTCAGCCTGCGGACCCATACTGTAAATCAACGCAGCTTCTTGAACGTCACCGTCCTCTTTGTGTAGTCCCGATGCCAGTATGTAGCGGACGAACCGATCACCCAGGTCGGCCACCTCTCAGGCGATGTGAAGTCGAATTCCTCAGGACGAAATCCAGGCATCTCGGCTTGCTTCGCAACTCACACTGCTTAAATTAATGTGCTGCTGACGCTTGCTTAAGCTAACTCTAGGTTCAATGCGGCTGCCCCATATTCAAGTCTTACGTGTTCTGTCTGTCCAAGACCAGCCACGAGCGCTGCGAGACGCAAACTGTATTAATCCCGCGAAGGCGAGCGGGCGGCGCCGACCCCGGCGGGGCGGCGCCCCAGGCAAGTACACCGCCGGTCGGGGCAGCGGCGTACCAAGGTGCAGCAGCACTGGCGGCGCGAGCAGGGGCGGCCTCGGACGCACGCCAGTAACATCATGATGCAGAGGGAAAAAGGGAAAAGTATGTCCCAAAAGCATGCCGGCGTCTGACCATTTTCTTTCTTTTGGGAGGGCCTTTTCACTATCAAGGGCCTCTTGTCAACCCTGCGCCATCTCCCCCCTGTCAAGGCTCTGCTGCGCGATTGCTGGGCAGGATCTTGTGTTGTCGCCATCCGGGGACACCCCGATATGGCATGGACGCGCGTATATACGGGTCACGGCACGTGCGCGCGTAGGTCCGGGTCATGACACGTGCGCGCGCATGTCCGGGTCACGGCACGTGCGCGCGTATGTCCGGGTCATGGCACGTGCGCGCATATGCCCGGGTCATGGCATCGACGCGCGTTCCAGCAGGATTGACGGTATTGTGACTTCATTACACTACCAGCAACCTCACCTGATGCTGGTTTAGTAGTTTTTCCCAGCTCTGCGCTTGGGGCCAGTGGAATCACACCATACGGTGTCTTATTCCTGACACCTACTCAGCGCAGCGTAAACTTTGAGTAACCCCAATACTTCAGTTTTACTCACATGTGACTTCGATTCCAGAATCAATTCCCATCTAGTCGATTCCTTTCGGAACAAGTTGGATAACGACGCGCATTTGGACCTTCATAAAAGCATGACTACACAAATTAGTCTAGCATGCCGTTATGTGACTGCGTTACATCCAGTGCACAACAGCTGCCAGACTATTAAGACGTTGTTGCTTCCATTTCTTTTTTACTCGAATCACTGAGGACGTGGCTCATTCAACAATGACTTCGACTCACGATTGCATGGGAATCGATTCCATTCTGGTTCAACAAAACTGGTTGATTCCAGAGACGATTCCGACTCCAGATGGAGCCACCCACAAACCTGCGTACCCCGGATGTTTGGATATATCGACTTCACGCCAATCCACACAGAATACAGAGCCCGTCATACGGAGTCAAACCGGAGTGCAGTCAAGGAATGTAATGAAGACGTGGAAGCATGATGAGTCGCTTTATTACAAGGGTTCCAGCCGCGTCAGACACACAGGCACGTGCTGCGCGCTGGCGTACAGAATTCGACGCAGATACAAAATGTGGGCGAGCTGAATACAAATCGGGAGGGACGGTGAGCCTGCTTAAGGACGGAAGGACGGTGAGGTGGCTTAAGAACAAAAGGACAATGAGGTGGCTTAAGGACGAAAGGGCGGTGAGGTGGACGAAGGACGGAAGGACGGCGAGGTGGCTAACACGACATAACTTCAGAAGGATCCTTATTGTGGACTGAATGACGAGGACGAGGAAAAACGGCTTCTGTACCCAAAGTTCCACCGCGCCTCAGGCTCCCACGAGCCGCCGCCCTCATGATTCGCCACCCTGGCCCTGCAACCCCGCTCACTGTCAAATATGGCTAGGAACAATGGCCGCGACGCTGCCCTGCACAACAGTCGCGGGAACATTTCATACAATGTATTGGCCCCAGGAAAAGCTTCTTCTACAACAATGTACCTCTCCTTGTTACCTTACTTCCATCTTGGCTGTCAACAGGTAAACAGACCGTGATATTACAGCATTTCAACGAGCCGAGGTGAGTGGCAAACGTGCAAATGGCAGCTAACTTCAACACTTCCAATGCGACAAACAGACATTTGCATGCATCATTGACGGACACCCACTCCCTTTGTGAGGTGTTGTCAGTTTTGTACCAGATCCCCGGATGACACGTCTCGGGACCGTGCCAACCTCGTACAGTTCTTGTAAACAGCGGCAGTATGACGCCGGGCGGCCTAGTCGGGCCATGCAGAGTGCGTGCTACGGAAAGCATAATCAACGTAAAAGTCACCGAAAGCGCAACAAATGTGGGCGGTTTGACAATGCATATTTGTTGCCAAGTTAGGTTTTCAGCAAAATGTCCTACCTTCTTCTATCCAGACATTTTGATATAACAGTGTATGTAACGGCGGAGTAATTGCCTATAAAAACATGCACACATCAATAACGCCTGCATTCTTATTCAAACACGAATGAGTACCTCAAACGGCCGCGCCGAAACAGCACGGCCTTCTGTCAACCACGAACCGTTCATAATCGCTCACGTATGGCACGACTCTGGCGTAACGTCCCCTACTCAGCACGAAATCGCCGGTCGTCTCCGGCGCGCGCGGCGCCGTCCCAGTGACGTCACGGCCGCCTCGCCGGCGCCACGCTCACTGGACGCCATGGCGCGCCAGCTCGGCGGTGACCCTGTCCAGGTAGCCGGGGGTCGGGGTAGCCGTGGCCGCTGTCGTTGCCGTGCAGCTCTGTCTTGTGGTGGATCTCGTTCCAGGTGACCACGTCCTGCTCGCCGGTGGTGGCCGACGGGCCGACGGTGAAGATGAGCCGCCGCCGCCACGCCTCCTCCAGCAGCCGGAGCACCTGCGCGCGCACACGCGCCCCAATGAACTTCACTGGGAGTCGCAGGCAGCCACGCCCTAGACCACGCGCCGGTCAGAGCCTCCGTCGGCGACGCTCCGGCACGCGCCAGTCGGAGGCGCGGCCAGCCCCATCATACGCAGATGTCGGTCGGGTCCAAATCCGACCATCGGCTTGAGGCCCACGACACGTTTATAAGCACCGCCCTGCTGCAGTAATCCTGAAGATTCCACACGCCTATGCCAAACTCCGTCAAGGTTAAGTTGTTGGTCCAACAGACCCAGTACACTTATTTAGCAAGGCAAAGCGCGCTACACCACGCTCCCTGAAGCCATTCATTGGAGGTTGTTACGGTTCGTGACCTGTCTTTACATTAAATTAAACGTCAAAGCTGCGGTCCACGTGATGAGATGTGCCGTAATGCATTACGTTTAACCCCAACCCAGGACAATTTTGGACCAGAACGCATCGCGTTCAAATATGCCGCCTGCTAGCAGTGGCCGGCACAGCTGGTCAGCGGACACGCACCGCCGCGCCCATCTCGGCCGTACCTTGCGTCCCTGCGTGGTGCTGGGCTAGGTAGCAGATGCGCGGAAAGCCGCGCACCTTGTACGGCCGGCCCGGGTGCGGGTGCTCCGGTCCCTGGATGCCCGGTGAGATCCTGTGGGCCGGCCCCCGGGGGCGTCACGCCATGTCTCGTCACAGATCGCACCGGTCCAGTCGCCGTGCCGGTCTGACACACGCGGAGGCGGCCCCAGGGCCAGGCCACCGTCCGGGAGACCGCGCGAGCGTACAGAGGAGCAGCACAGGAGGTCACGGCCAAGGTCAGCCACCTCCCGGGAGAGCACACGAGTGTACACAACGGCAGCATAGGAGGTCAGGGCCAGGGTCACCCACGGTCCGGGAAAGCACGCGAGCGTACAGAGGGGCAACACAGGAGGCCAGAACCCAGGTGAGTCAACCGCCCGGGATAGCACGCGAGCGCACAGAGGGCCTGCGCGGACGTCCGACGCTGTCCCCTCAGCGGAACGGGCTGGCAGAGCCGACCAAGCCCGGCGGCACGGACGCCGACATCGGAACGTCTGGAGAAACATCACACACGGAAGGCAGCCACTGATCCGGGCTGCACTCAAACACCACCGCACTGTATCACTCGACAGGCGTCTGGTGTTCGACTTACATGTATGATATTTCGATGGTATCACAGTCGTAGCCGGGCAGCGGGATGGGCAGCCGGCGCGTGGACATCCTGCCCGGCGGCTGCTGCCCCACCTTCCGCCCGTATATGGACTGGCAGGCGGGACACTGCAGGTACTGGACCTGGAACATCCGCCGCACGAGTCCGTCGGGTCTCCACAGGCGCGGCACACGCCGGCGGCCCGCCACCGCGTTCAGCTCGCAGCCAGCCGCGACCCGGGCCGCAACGCACGCCAGACAGGAATGTGACACCTTAAAACTCCGATGGTCGCACAGCTACACATGACGGGCGCCTGAACAAGGACCACCTGCCTGGCCATCTCCGCTGCGCTCCCGTTTGGAACCGAGCCGACGCGGCGCGGGGCCGTGCCCTACGACATCCGGCGGCGGCGGTCCCAGGGGCGGCGTGTGGGGAGCAGTCGACCCACCTGGTTTGTACTCTCGACCATGGCGCGCAGGCAGTCCAGATGGATGGCGTGGCGGCAGCCGTTCAGCTGGATCACCAGGTCGTCGCCGTAGCTGGACGGCTCGGTCAGCATGTACCGGCAGATGCAGCAGGCGACCCCCACCAGTCGGCAGCACCACCGACGTGTACATCAGCAGCAGCTGGTCCAGCGTCACCTCTACACGGTACAGGACGTGTGCATCAGCAGCAGCTGGGCCAGAGTCACCTCTACACGGTACAGGACGTGTGCATCAGCAGCAGCTGGGCCAGCGTCAGCTCTACACGGTACAGGACGTGTGCAGCCAGCAGCAGCTGGGCCAGCGTCACCTCTACATGGCACAGGACGTGTGCACCAGCAGCAGCTGGGCCAGCGTCACCTCTGCACGGTGCAGGACGTGTACATACGCGGCAGACGGTCCAACGTCACAACTGCAAGGCACACGAGTACAGCAGCAGCCGGTCCACTGTCATCACATAACGGGACATCATTGTTGCTGTTGATCGGGATCTAACGGCGCGTCCACTGCCCTAGTCATTTTGCGCCCGGCGTATACATCAGCAGTAGCTACTCCAGCGTCACGTCTGCACCGAACGGGACTTTTCATCAGCGGCGGGCTACCCCAAGATCTACCGACAAGCGTACCTTCGCACCATGCATAACACAATATTAACGTAACAACACCAAAGCAGCAACAAAACACAAACCGAACGCACATATCTAGCACAAAACATCACGCGGGAGGGTGTCGCAAGGACAGAGTATCGTATTTCTTGCAGCCCACGTGCATACTCCAACAGCGGAGTCCCTTACGCCCTGCTCCCGCCTGTTGACCTGCCGCGCCTCACCGGGCGGTACCGGACCCCCCCCCCCCCCCCCCCCTCTCTCCCAGCGCCGAACTCCGCCAATCTACACCGGTTCGCCCCGCTGGCTACGTGAATGACCACGCTTACTGACAACTGTTTCATACAACTGATCACTTAATCGCCGGGCTACCGCCCACGCTGCTAACTGTACCGAAAAGCGCATACTCGTGGTTCAGTGTACTGCTATCAGTAACTCTGCGTATCATTCGAAGCCATACCCATGCAACGAAATGCTTCTTGTATATCATGATAATTCGTTACATATTTCTTAACAGTTTATTTTCCTTGTTTGTTTGTTTTTTTTTTTTTGCATAATTTTAGTAACTTCATGGTGGCATTTTCCCCAATCTCCACCACTGCCGTAATCCCACGCCACAGCCACCTCCGCCGTCGCCACCGCTTCCGCCGTCCCCACCCGCCACCACTGTTGCCCCGCAACCGCCCTCCCCACCGTTTCCGCCGTCCCCACCGCCACCACTGTTGCCCCGCACCCGCCCCCCCCCCCCCACCCCCCCCCCCACCGTCGCCAGCGCCGTGCCTCGCCAATGTCACCAGCCGGCGCGCCTCGCCGCCGTCGGCAGCTGCGCTCCGACAGCGGCGCTCACCGTCGTCCCGGTAGTTGGTGTCCATCAGACACACGCATGCTGGCCGGAGCTGTGCGAGCTCTGGCTGATGGTAGGTGGATATGGTGGCGACGCTGAGGCCGGCGGCCGTCGGGCGGGCGCGCGGCGGCCGGCTGCCGGGCGCCGGCGGCCGTCCGCCCGACGCCACCGAGGCGAGTCACCGCTCTCGCGGCGACTCGGCCGACTCGCCGGCCCGGCGTCCGGTCCAGCGAGTCGGCGATCCGGCTGGAACAGCCGCGTTCAGCTGCTTCATCAGCTTCTTGGTGCCGCTGCTGTCCTTGTCCTTGCGTTCTTTGTCCTTCTTCTTGGAGGTGGCTGGCGGGCGACGAATCTCCTCTACAGGGTACACAGCGGAAACTCAGCCAAACCGAAGCAACCGAGGGCGAAAACGGAACGCAACGAAACAAGCAAACGGGTAACCAAAACGAAATCAACATCCCGGCTTACACCGCTATATGCTGATGACAAGTCCTCGGCGGTGGAGGCCGGCCGGTGCCGCTGGGACACCTCTGCTGACCGGCGGCCCCACAGGACGCTAGTGCGGGGTCCACGCGGCGCTCACCTAGCGTGGGCGGCTGGAAGACGAACTCGTCGGCCGGCACCTTGGTGAGCGGATAGGCGGCCTGCTGGGCGCGCCGCAGCTGGCGCACGTACCCGCTCGTCTTCTTCACCTGCGTCAGGTTGCAGAAGTTGATGATGTAGGGCAGGTGCGGGAACACGTGACTGACGTCAACCGTCTGCTCGCCCTGTAAACAAGAAAGGCGAAGACAGCAGGTCAGCACACGGCGTGGTCCCCTGCCTGGGGAAGAAGGCGGACACCTGCAGCGGCCAACACCACACTTCCAGCACTGGAGTCCATGCCCTTCGACGGCAATCACTAGGCACCCGTTCGTCAGACGCATCGAGCAACGACATCACGCAATCCTTGATTCTGTTAGACAAGGACAGCTCTTGACACGCGATGTCATATACCCAACGGCGATAGCGCACGGTCCGTTGTGGTAAGCGAAACCACCGACACCGATGGCAACCTAC